TATATATTCTATTTCATATTCTTTTCCATTATGGTTTGTTACAGGGTATTGAATATAGTTCCCTGTGCTACACAGTAGGACCTTGTTGTTCATCTATTTTATACATAGTAGTTTGTATCTACTAATCCCAGACTCCTAATTTATCCCTCCCTCCCCCTTCCCCTTTGGTAACCATAAGTTTGCTTTGTGTCTATGAGTGTTTGTTTTGTAAATAAGTTCATTTGTATCATATTTTAGAGTCTACATATAAGTGACATCATATGGTATTTTTCTTTCTCTGTCTGACTTACTTCACTCAGTATGTTAACCTCTAAGTCCATCCATGTTGCTGCAAATGGCAATATTTCATTCTTTTTATGACTGAGTAGTATTCCACTGTATATATGTACCACATTTTCTTTATCCATTCATCTATCAAAGGACATTTAGGCTGCTTCTATGACTTGCCTATTGTAAATAGTGTTGCTATGAACTTTGTGGTGCATGTATCTTTTCAGGTTAGAGTTTTCTCCAGATATATGCCCAGGAGTGGGATTGCTGGATCATATGGCAACTCTATTTTTAGTTTTTTAAGGAATCCCCATATTGTTTTCCATAGCGGCTGCACCAATTTACATTACCACCAATAGTGAAGGAGGGTTCCCTTTTCTCCACACCCTCTCCAGCATTTGTTATTTGTAGACTTTTTGATGGTGGCCATTCTGACCAGTGTGAGGTGGTACCTCTTTGTTATTTTGGTTTGCATTTCTCTAATAATTAGCGATGTTGAGCACCTTTTCATGTGCCTGTTGGCCATCTGTATGTCTCCTTTGGGGAATTGTCTATTTAGGTCTTCTGCCTATTTATTTTTAAGTTTGAACAAAAAGAAAAATGATATTTATTTATTTGTTCTGCCCATTTTTTGATTGGGTGGTTTGGTTTTTTTTTTTATTGAGTTGTATGAACTGTTTTTATATTTTGGAATTTAATCCCTTGTTGGTCACATCATTTGAAAATATTTTCTTCCATCCCATAGGTTGTCTTTACATTTTGTTGATGGCTTCATTTGCTGTGCAAAAGCTTATAAGTTTGAGTAGGTCCCATTTGTTTATTTTTGCTTTTATTTCTATCGCCTTGGGAGACTGATCTAAGAAAATGTTGCTGTGATTTACGTCAGAGAATGTTTTGCCTATGTTCTCCTCTAGGAGTTTTATGGTGTCACGTTTTATGTTTAAGTCTTTAAGCCATTTTGAGGTTTTTTTTGTGTATGGTGTGAGGGAGTGTTCTAACTTCATTGATTTACATGTAGCTGTCCAGCTTTCCCAACATCACTTCCTGAAGAGACTGTCTTTTCTCCATTGTATATTCTTGCCTCCTTTGTCAAAGATTAATTGAGCGTAGATGTGTGGGTTTATTTCTGGGCTCTCTATTCTGTTGCATTGATCCATATGTTTGTTTTTGTGCCAATACCATGATGTTTTGATTGCTGTAGCTTTGTAGTATTGTCTGAAGTCTAGGAGGGTTATGCCTCCAGCTTTGTTCTTTTTCCTCAGGATTGCTTTGGCAATTCCTGGGTCCTTCATGGTTCCATGTAAATTTTACGGTAATAATTAGTTTTGTGAAAAATGTCATGGGTAATTTGATAGAGATCAAATTAAATCTGTAGGTTGCTTTGGGTAGTATGGCCATTTAACAATATTAATTCTTCCAATCCAAGAGCATGGGATATCTTTCCATTAGATATCTTTCCCATCTTTTTGTTGAATTGCTCCTTTAATCATCATGAAAAATTTCTCTCTCTCAAAGTATTTCTTATCTTAAAATCTATTTTGTCTAATATCAGGATAGCTGTGTAATTTTCCTTTCAATTATTTTTTTCATCCTTTCACTTAACATTTCTAGACTCATGTTTTAGGTGAATAAATTGTAAGCAAGATATTTTGGGTTTTGGTATTTTATCTAGTAGGACAATACTTGTTGGCTAGAGTATTAATCTATTTGCATTTAATGATTACACTTAATTTTCTGATACATTAAATTTTAAATCTATCATCTTGCTTCCCTCACCCTCAGTTTCCTACTTGCTCTTCCTTCTTTTCATTCTCGTTTCTTGACTTTTATGTAATGTTGTTTTATCCTCCTCCCCTTCCCCATTATCTTATTGATGCATAGTATTATATTATACCTTAAGGGGTTACACTATAAATTGTAATACACATCCATGATATATTCAAAGCTTTTTAAAATGAGTATTTTACACTTTTAACAAGTCAAGGATCTTGTATTTACTCAGTGTATCACTCTTCTACTTTTTCATGCTATTGCTGTCTTCTATTTTAAATTTATTTATTATTTTTGGCTGCATTGGGTCTTCATTGCTGTGCGTGGGCTTTCTCTAGTGGTGGTGAGTGGGGGCTACTCTTCATTGTGGTGCATGGGCTTCTCATTGCGGTGGCTTCTCTTGTTGCAGAGCACAGGCTCTAGGCGTACGGGTTTCAGTAGTGGCTCATGGGCTCTAGAGCATAGGCTCAGTAGTTGTGGTGCACGGGCTTAGTTGCTCCGCAGCATATAGGATCTTCCTAGACCAGGGATTGAACCTGTGTCACCTGTATTGGCAGGCGGATTCTTAAACACTGCATCACCAGGGAAGTCCTAATCCTATGTATATTTTATTCTACAGATTTTTAAAATTTTATATAGTTAATGTATTTATTTTTTAATTTTTATTTTTCTAATGTGTTTTAAATGTACACATTTGTTCACCTTCTTTAATGATTGTAATTCTTTACTATATTACCATATTTTTATCTTGAGTCATTTTCCTTGTCTGAAGGCTTACAGTATATTTTTGGTGAGAGTCTGCTGGAAATAAGTTCTGTCAACTTCTCAGTTATATAAATGTTTTTATTTTCCTTTATTTTTGAAGGCTATGTTTGACACTTGTAGAATTCTAAATTGTTAGTTGTTTTCTTTCAGCACTTAAAAGATATCATTGCATTGTATTCAGGTTTCAGTCACTTCTACTGAATAATCAGCCAACTGTTTTAGTGTAGCCCCTTTGAAGGTAAAGTGTCTTCCCTTTCTTGACCCAGTACATTTAAAGATTTCTTCTTCTTTTTGATTTTAAGCAGTTTTCTATGATGTAGCTACAGGTAGTTTTCCTTGCATTTACCCTTCTTAGGATTTACAGAAATTCTTGAACTGTGGCTTCATGTTTTTCATCAGTTTTGCAAAATCCACATCTAGTAACTCTTCACACACTGCTCTGGTACTGTTTCTCTCTTCTCCTTTTCTGGAACTCAGGTCTTTGTACATTAGACCTTTTTAAAATTTGTCCCATATATCCCTGTTCTATTTTTTCTATATTTTGTATTTTTTTCTATGTTTTTATATGAATATATTCTTCAAAAATATGTTCCAGTTATTTTAAGTCCTCTTCTGCTATGTATATTCTGCCATTAGGTCCATCTATCACATTCCTAATTTCATCCTATTTCAGTTCTACAATGTCCATTTTATTCTTCTTATCGGTTCCATTTTTCTGTTGAAATTCTCCCATAATTTGAAGTACACATCAAACTCTATGTCTGATAAGACTAATTTCTCTTTTTCTCTTGGATTCTAGCCATTTGGTCCTGTTGCCTGGCAGTCTTTAATCTTTTGTTAAATATTGTGCATTGTCTATGAAAAATTGTGGAACCTTTGGTTGATCATTTCCTCCAAAGTGGATCTGAATTTCTTCTTGTAGACAGAATGTAGGGAGATCACCACAATCTAGAAAAGACTGGGTTTTAGACTGGGCTATTTCCAGTTTGCCCTTACTTTTAGGACAGAGTCCTTCAGGGATCTCACCTGAAAACCTGGGATGTTTATAATGCTTCTTCTTTCTTAGGAAGCCTTGCTTTCTAATTTTTATCTCCCCAGCATTGTGAGACTGCTGAAGTCTCTGCTTGGTTTTTAATCTCTTAGTGCCTGCTTTCTACTTGTTTATTTCTGCCTCACTCTCCACACACGGGCAGATTAAGAATCAGAGAGTACCTCAAGAAGAAACTGCATGCAGCATGCTATACTTACTTCTCTGTAGTTCCCGTTATTCTAGGATGTTGGTCCCACAAGACAAAGCAGCCTTCAGAGCTTTGAACACCAATGTTTGTTTCTCTAGCCCAGGGAGATCACTATAAACTCTGCGTTACTCTTCTCTATTTGACCACCATGACTTATATGGAAAATTGGTAAATGCGTGTAGATGGAGAGGACTGGAGAGAAACTGCAGCAAATACAGGGTTCACCTCAATGCATTTCTTTTCTCAGGGACCTTAGCTTCTCAATCCCTGGTTGCCTCAATTGCTCTCTCATACTGTTTAATTTTATTTTGCTTTTATAGTTGGTCTTCAGTGAGCATGTTAGTCTGATTTAAGTTAGTGTAGTTTAGTTAGTCTTCACAGAGCCAGAAGCAGAATTCTCTTGGCAAATAGCTCCCTTTTTCATTTCCCTATTCCCAGTCAATGATACTACCAACGCTTAGGCACATGTACTGCATGTTTAACTCTTCCTTCTTTCTTTTACCCTCATGTGTCTTTAGTTGACAAATTCTGTAAATTCTATCTTTGAAATTTCTCTCCCATACATCTTCATCCTTTACATTTTTACTACAATCACTCTATTATGTATATATACCCTTCCCTACCCCCCTCCATTCTTTACCTTTTCCAACCCCCACAATGCCTAATGAAAGTGGTAAAAGCTTCACAGTATTTATATAATCTAGTTCAAAACCACGTTTGCTACATTACTTTCTACTAATTTTGTAAAGATACCCTGTACTCCACTGAAATGAAACTATTTCCCATGGACCATAGCCCATGTATTCCTTCCTCCATAATTATGCTCATAACTTTCCTTTCGTTTTCTTGCCATAGCCCAAACATTTCAAAGTCTGTTTCAAATGCTGTCCCATCCATAAATACTGTGTAGAGTCATTGAAATGGGGTAATATCTCCCTTCTGTGAGACCCCATTGCACTTTGCTCATATTACTTGAATTAGTAATTATTTCAATTTGCCTTGCTTTAGCAGGATTTTTGTTCTTACACTATCTCCTTGAGTATAAGCTCCTTTCAAGGTGAGGCCTTTATTTTATTCACTGTTGTCCTACAACACTTGGCACAGTGCCTAGAATTTGCAAGCCCTCCCTCAACAGAATAAAACAGAATTCTGACAAATATAAAATGCAGAGTATTATAAATCTGTGTGATTACAGTTGTATCTGATAGATTCATGTTTCTGAAAATGTTACCTGTTTAATAATGACTTGTATTTTAGAAATATAAATATCTAAGACATTTTTAGGTTTGAAATAAAGAGTAATTTGGATTATATAGATCAATACACAAGCACCCCTCATTTCCCAACAAAATTTGAGTTCAAGCATTTTTACAAGAAATAATTTCATCATGTGAGCCATTGTGTATTATGTATTACGTATTTCTTTCTCTTTGAGTTGAATATCCAAGTAAGTCATACTTGAAAAATTCAACACAATTCAATTAAATATGGTTCCCAAAGGTATGCAAATCATTTAATGTTAATTTTATGACAGAAATGTCAGCATTCAAATGAGAGATTTTAGGGCTGCATAATTCAGGTTTAATTTTACAGGACTATGAATTGAGAATAAACTTGGGGGGGTGAAAATCACTACTTACAAGGAATATTCAGGAACGGCATCCTTGAAGGCAGGAAGTTCTCGCACATATTCAATATAAAACCATTTCACTTTGAAATGCAAATTCATATAATCAGTACTCTTGCATAACCGCAGCTTTTCATGTTCTGTAACAGATAATATCAAATATTTAATAAAGTTTGGTTTGCCAACAATGCTGTGCTCCAATCTAATTTTATTATTCGTATTTCAAAAAGGAAGAAAATAACATATCTGAGGTTAAAGCAAATTGAATTGCTAAAGACAGACCTGAAAGTTTACAAAATGAAAAAATCATCTGTTAGGTCCTATGTAGAATAGCTCAGGCAGTAATGAGAAATGACTGAATGGTCTAATGTGCCTTCCTGAAAAAGGTGAGAATTCTGGTGAGTTAAAGAGTGATAATGTATCAGCATTTTTCTATTTATCTGCAAGCTTTCACATTTTGACTACTTTTAGCATGATGCAAAGTGCCAGAAAGAATGAAAACTTGTAAGCATGAATAAAACATGAATCAAACTAGGAGGCATAATCCCTGATTAATCCTGGAAATGGGAATGAGTAGATCACATTTTGGGCCTGGATATTTAATACTTAGAGAATTAAGGAGAAGAACTATATTTAACTTCTAAGCCAGCTGATTTCTTCTTCACCTTTTAAGTTCAGCAAAAATTATTTTGTACGCTGTGACCTTTTTTTGACATTTATTTAGCAGGATTTTCTTTTTTTAAAATTTTTATTGGAGTATAGTTGATTTACAAGGTTGTGTTAGCTTCAGGTGTACAGCAAAATGAATCATATATATATATATATATATATATATATATATATATATATCCACTCTTTTAGATTCTTTTCCCATATAGCAGGATTTTCTAATATGTGACTTTTTTCCTCTCTCTTGCTCAAAAAGTATAGCTTAACACTGTTACTTTGATCTGAACATATAGTAATATAGTACTGGGGAATAGAGACAAAAATAATGTTACTGAACACATTTATCTCTGCTCAATATTAATATGTTGGCCAATTCTGGCTCTAAGTATAGGCACAACCAAACCCCAAATATCCCTAACTATATGTAGGTTGAAAGTGTCCTCTGAGAAGTTCTGGTTGAGGTCTGTGAATCTCCTTCAAGCTAAGGGCTTTAATTTATAATAGGAACGCCCTTTAGTTAATATTCCAGGCTGAAAACACTAACTGAAGCAATTAGATTGTTATAAGGTAATTGAGGTTATCCTTGCTTTTCAAAACCTGACTATAAAGGGACTTACATCCCAATAATAAACACAAGAGGCAACACAACCCCAAATCGAACATTTTCAAATTATCTAAGCAATGATTAATTCAAGACAATTTGTAGAACCAAGAAAGAGGCAGAGACACATAGAAAACATACATCTATACACAGAAACAAGAGTAATATACTAGTACCTATAGACCAAACTTCCAGACAAAATTATGAACTAGATGACTGGCAGCCGCTGTGCAAGGATGGGCCTGGCAACCAACCAGTCTGGGAGCCAGCCATGCCTCCCAGACTGCCCCCAGTAGTCTAGCCTCCAAAGCAGAAGGATCCACACACATAGGCGCACCCCTAGAGCACACAGCTATGGTGACCAGTGAGGAGTGGGCTGCTGAGACACATAGGACATCTCCTACAAAAGGCCAATTCTTCAAGGTCAGGAAACATAATCAACCTACCAGATACATAGAAATAAAAACAGCAAATTAGACAAAATGAGGTGACAGAGAAACATGGTCCAAACAAAGGAATAAGATAAAACCCCAGAAAAAGAATTAAGTGAAATGGAGATAGGCAGTCTATCTGAGAAAGAGTTCAAGGTAATGATTGTAAAGATGATCAAAGAACTCAGGAGAAGAATGGAAGAACAGAGTTATTAATATGTAAATGTTATCATTATTACTATGATTTATGTCATAGAATGTTCTACCTATGTTTTCTTCTAGTGTTATGCTTTCCAGTCTTACATTTAAGTCTTTAATCCAGAAGTTAAAATTGTTTAACAGAGATGAAGAATACAATAACTAAATGAAAAATACACTGCTAGGACTCGACAGTAGGTTAAATGATACAGAGGAACGGATCAGTGAGTTGGAAGACAGAGCAGTGGAAATCACCAAAGCTGAACAGAAAAAAGAAAAAAAGAATAAAAAGAAATGAGGAAAGTTTAATAAATCTCTGGAATAACATCAAATATTCTAACACTCACATTACAGAGGTCCCAGAAGGAGAAGAGAGAGAAAGGGGCAGAGAACATATGTGAAGATACAATAGCTGAAAACTTCCCTCACCTAGAAAAGGAAGCAGACCTCAAAGTGCAGGAAACACAGAGAGTCCCAAACAGGATCTACCCAAAGAGGACCACCCCAAGACACACTGTAATTAAAATGGCAAAAATTGAATATAAGAGAGAATATTAAAAGCAGTAAGGGAAAAGAAACCAGGAAACTCCCATAAGGCTATCAGCTGACTTTTAAGCAGAAACTAAAGTGATGAAAGAGAAGAACCTACAACCAAGGATACTCTATCAGGCAAGGCTTTCATTTACATTCGATGGAGAAGTCAAAAGTTTAACAGGCAAGCAAAAGGTAAAAGAGTTCAGCACCACCGAACCAGCTGTACAAGAAATGTTAAAGGGACTTCTATAAGTGAAAAAGAAAAGGCCACAACAAAAAACATGGAAATTACAGAAAGAAAAATCTCCTTGGTAAAGGCAAGTATCCAGTAAAGGTAGTAAATCAACCATGTACAAAGCTAGTAGGAAGGTTAAAAACCAAAAGTAGTAAAATCATCTATATCCACAATGATCAGTAAAGGGAAAACTAGAGAGCTACATGTAAAAGAATGAAATTAGAACATTTTCTCACACTATATATAAAAATAAACTCAAAATGGATTAAAGACCTAAATGTAAGACTGGAAAGCATAAAACTAGACGAAAACATAGGTAGAACATTCTATGACATAAATCATAGTAATAATTTTTTTGGATCTGTCTCGCAGCCAAAGGAAACAAAAGCAAAACTTTAAAAATGAGACCTGATTAAACTTAAAAGCTTTTGCACAGCAAAGGAAACCATCAACAAAAATGCTAAAACCTACTGAAAGGGAGAAAATATTTGCAAATGGTATGACTGATAAGGGGTTAATATCCAAAATATATAAACAACTCATACGACTCAACATCAAAAAACCCCCAAACAATTTAATTAAAAAAATTGGGCAGAAGACGTGAATAGACAATTTTCCAAAGAAGACAGAGATGGCAACAGGCACAGGAAAAGATGCTCAACATCACTAATCATAAGATAAATGAAAATCAAAACCACAATGATGTATCACCTCACACCTGTCAAAATGGCTATGTTCAAAAAGGTCATAAATCACAAACGTTGTCAAGGATGTGGAGTAGAGGGAGCCCTAGTACATTGTTTGTGGTAATGTAAATTGGTGCAGCTACTGTGGAAACAGAATGGAGTTTCCTCAAAAAACTACAAATCGAACTACCATATGATCCAGCAATTCCACTCCTGGGTACATATTCAAAGAAAATGAAAACAGTAATTTGAAAAGATACATGCAGACCAGTGTTCACAACAGCATTATTTACAATTGTCAAGATATGCCAACAACCTAAGTGCTCATCAACAGATGAATGGATAACGAAGATGTGGTGTACACACACACACACACACACACACACACACACACACACACACACACAATGGAATATTACTCAGCCATAAAAAAGAATGAAATCTTGCCATTTGCAAGAACGTGGACCTGGAACATATTACACTTAGGGAAATAAGTCTGAAGGAGAAAGATAAATACCATATGTTATCACTTACAGGTGAAATCTAAAAAATAAAACGAATGAATACAACAAAGAAGCAACAGACTCACAGGAAGAGCAAACTAGTGGTTACCAGTGGGAAGATGGAAGGTGGAGGGGCAAGATAGGCGTAGGGGATTAAGAAGTACAAACTACTATATATAAAATTAATAAGCCACAGAATGTATTATATAACACAGGGAATATAGCCAATATTTTATAAAAACTATAAATGGAATATAATCTGTAAAAATTATGAATCACTATGTTGTACACCTGAGACTAATATAATACTGTAAATCAACTATATCTCAATTTAAAAAAAAGAGTGCATGTAAACTGAGATTGGATAGAAAACATGTAACCTCAGAGAAGAAAAAAAAGGCTGAAAAGAAATTTTTAAAAGTTCAAATATATGCTTAAATATTTTAAAACAGGAAAAAATTAAAGACAACAGATATCATGTGACTTGGGAAATGTATTATTTGGTGCCACTGTGAACAGAACACAAAATATTTGAAATATTTTATTATAATGGCATAATTAGTTATTTTGCTGAAATGAAGGTGAAAATATACATTTCTGAAAGAAAAATATAATTTATGACTTATTTGTATCTTCACTGGAAAACACAAACATTGCCTCTTAGGACACCAAAATATGCATATTGATAATTCAATTGTTGTCTTTATTATTTTGCCAACTTTCAGCATATTAAAAAATAACTGTTCCAAATTTTTTTATTGTATCAATATGAAAGTAAGTTTATTTATTTATTTATTTTTTAATTTATATTTGGCTGCATAGGGTCTTCATTGCTGCATATGGGCTTTCTCTAGTTGTGGCTAGTGGGGGCTACTCTTCATTGCGGTGTGCGGGCTTCTCATTGCAGTGGCTTCTCTTGTTGCAGAACACGGGCTCTAGGCGCGTGGGCTCAGTAGTTGTGGCTCGTCGGTTCTAGAGTGGAGGCTCAGTAGTTGTGGTGCACAGGCTTAGCTGCTCTGTGGCATGTGCGATCTTCCCAGACCAGGGCTCGAACCCGTGTCCCCTCCATTGGCAGGCGGATTCTTAACCATTGCACCACCAGGGAAGCCCGAAAGTAGGTTGACTTTTTGAGGTAAGACGACAGAACACATTTCATTTAAAAGTTTATTAGCTTGATTTAGAAATGATAAATATTTAGGTCTATGCTATGTGGACCTCCATTTATGCTCTTGTCTTTGCAAGTGTTAGAGGTGAGAGCCTGGAAATGTATTACCTTTACTAAG